ATTAAACCTTATTTTCAATAAGCAATCCTGAAAAATATTTGGGGGTGCTTAACTTTTTTCCAGGTGTATATTTTAATTCCACGCTTTTCACCTAGCATGAACTAAATACTGAAATTTACTCACTTTCCTTGAAAACTAAAATATTTTTATAATTAATTTGTTTAAAATCTCAAAACCATGTGTAACATTAGGAAGTAAAAGAAAGAAAGTGGTTTAAAAAGAAAAAGATACAATCCAAACAACATTTGAGTCTAAAATTAACTATCAATACATATTAGCTCTGTTTTAAGATTCTGTGGTATAAACATAGAATGGTGAATACAACAGTTAGTACTTACAGGATGGGTTGGTAAAGGTTCTGTTAATAGCATATCACCCAAAATTTTCCTGCAGTAAGTTGCCATTTTGACTTGTTGTTTTGTTCTAAGAAAATAAAAAACAATAACAATAGACTTTAAATCTGCAAATACTAAAATAATAATGTATATGTATTTTAACCAAAATATTTCTTGGTTATCAAAAACCAATTAACCTCAAATACAGCTGAGAAGTATTTTTAAACTTAATTGTCACCAACATTTTTTTTCAGATATTTAAGGGCCATATTCCTGCATTAAAGTCCTCAAATTAAATTTATAAAGTTACTTTTCTTTGCTATCAGCAAGGCTATATTAAGTACACTAAAAGAAAATTAACTTGTACAAAAGAATATGGAAGTTTGAGATCCCTGACTAGTGTGTACTTGAACACGCTCTAGGTGAATGTGGCATATAATCCATTCAAACTATTTTAAGATCTTAACAGGTGCCAATGATGAACAGAGCGTCTGTATAAGAGAGTTTGCTCATTCACAAACTGAGACTAGTAATTAAACCAGTAGGCTTAGTATGCAAGTTACTTCTAATATTATAAAATGTATTCATCATTTAAAAAATGTGCACACACACACATACATATATATATATGTATATATATAAAAGGTTCATATTATTAATATTAAGGAATTATGATATTCTACCTTCACATAAAACTCCTCACAGAAAGAAAATTTAATCATATCATGAATTTTTAAAGAAATTAAACTTACGAACAATGGTTTTCAAAAGACAAGATTACTGGAAAACACGATGTCTTGAAAGCACTCTCTGCAATCGCTTCTATGACTTCCTGAAAACAAAACTTGGAAATAGTATATAATCACTCCAACAAAATTAATCAAGATCTGCAGCTCAAATAAAAAACATAATAGAACTGCTACAGCAATAAGGCCAACTATCTTCTTAACATGGTTAAGTCAAGGAATGTCTGTACAATTCAGGCTTAAAATAAATAATACATTGTGACTTTTGTATTTCTAATACTGAAAAAATGTTCACAAATGTTTTATTATGCACTATATTACTCATAAAATAATGCTGAATGAATTACATTATTGTGAGACTGCATCAGTGCTGATACAAGACAACAAAGATATATTGTATTCAGTAATAGCAGGCTTAATTCTAGTATGAACAGAACAAAACAAAGATGTAATTTCAGAAATATGTAAAAACTGACAAGTTACCTTTAGCAAGATTTCTGTAACCACAGTATAACCATGAGTTATAATTGGTTCTTCATCTGAATTTCTTCCATTCCAACAATCCAGCTCCACACACCGACATCCCGTCAGCAGACACTGGCGATAAATTTCTACTGATGATTTCCCTGTCAATTGATGGCCTACAAAAAAAAATAGAATAAAAATGGATCAACTGAAATTTTCCAAAGCTGAAGTGAAATTTCATGCCTATATTTTTTTTACCAAGAAACAAAACTTATTCTTCTTAATTATTAAGCTAGTTTAAAATCTGGTAAAAAAATTAGAATATAAATATGTGTGAAAAATAAAAAATTATGGTATTACAGTTAAAATGTCATCTAAGGCTATGAATAAAATATTCACATAAAAGAGTACTTTCATAATCAAGTTGAAAAGTTTTGTTTTGTCTTCATATACCTACATATATTCTCACATTTATAAATATTGTACAACAGTTATGTTAATTCTAACACTTAAAGAAAAGAGAGAGAGTAAAAACAGCAGCTATATACTTTGGATGAAATTTTACAAAATATCCAGTCAACAAAAACAATACGTGACAGACAAATAAAATGCCTTAAACTCATATTTTTTCATTTTAGTGTAGAGATATGCAGATGATCTTTGAACTTAAGAGATACACTTGAACAATCAAGTTTAATAACTATATTATAACCATTTTTAGTAAAATTGCAATAATGTTTTCTTTTCTTAAATTTTGAAGATATTATCATAAACTAGTGTATGTTTTTCTAATGTAAACATGTGTGGGCCCTACTTTCTTCCTGCAGATAATACTCTTACTAAGGTACATCTTACCATATTTCCCACCAAGTGTAACTGGTTATATTTATATGACTCTTATGTGTAATGTTTTTTCTATGTGAATATTGTTATATAAATCATTTTGAACATGATATCATAATCATAATTCACATGATTAATATATATATAACAAAATACTAACTTACTTAGCTGTCTCAATATATAATGTACAGAAGGAGGTGACCATCCATATGCCAAAAGCACAGTTGATAAATTCGATGACAAGGAACCCACTTTGAGACTAATAATGGCTGGAGACGGTTTGAATGGGTAATGAAGAAAAACTTTAATATAAGTTTAACATAACAGCAAATGTACAATGTTTCGACAAGGTACCTGATGATGACAAAACCTTCTCAAAACGTTGTACATTTTGTCAGTTATGTTAAACTTATATTAAAGTTTTTCTTCATTACCCATAAAGCCGTCTCCAGCCATTAACAGTTGATAAATGTTTTTAAGTCCACATATCAAAACCTTGAACATAGCTAGAAAAGTACACACACACATATATATATATGTATATACATATACACACACATCAGTTTCTGTCTGTATGAAACACAATTTAAGTCTCTTCACAAAACACAATATGTTATTCTTGGTGTTTTTCACTTTTGGTAAGTTTATTTAAACATTTAGTAAAACATATAATAAGCATTTATTTATGAAATGTTATAGCTTTATAGAGTTGCCCTTAACCCTCCAATTCTTTGCTGTTACAATTAATACATTGCAAGGTCAGACATTTGACCATCTAGGAATACCTCTAGTTCTTCCAGAACCAGTTTTTTTTCACATGGTCAACTTGAAAAAGTTTTATCAAGAAGCAGATTTAACCATAACATCAAAATATGCATAATTTCAAATTATAATCAAGGACCACTTGCAGGTGATGACAAAATATACACAAAAAATGCTATTTTTTATGAAATACTAGAAAAAAAGTATAAATAATGTTTTGTGTATATTCTTATTACAATGTAAATATATTAATAAAATAACTATTTAGAACAAATTTTTCAAAGAAAAATAAAAACCCACTTAGCATCATATGATAGGCATTTGGCTAGTTTCAGAATAAAAAAAATGTTCGTCAAACATTTCATATCACAAAAAATGATAACAATAACACTCACACACCTAACTACTGTTAAAAAGTAAAATCTAACTGAAACAAGGTTTTATTACGTTATATAGGTAAACAAAAAAAAAACAGAAATACATCAAGCTAGACTTTAACCTTCTAGTATCTAGCCTTAATATAATTTATATTGAAAAACAAAAAACAGTGTATTACTTAAAAACAGACAAAGGGTGACAGTAACACACACATTATACTCAACACTTTAGTAGTTTTACATTGATAAAGAGTGTGTTACTTTTATATGGACATAATGTGACAGTAAAATACACATTATACTCAACACTTTAGTAGTTTTACATTGATAAAGAGTGTGTTACTTATATATGGACATAATGTGACAGTAAAATACACATTATACTCAACACTTTAGTAGTTTTACATTGATAAAGAGTGTGTTACTTATATATGGACATAATGTGACAGTAAAATACACATTATACTCCACACTTTAATAGTTTTACATTCAAATTTTGAAATGCCTTTGATTTAATTAATTTATACAATTGTTGCGTCAGCGAGTCACGTGACTACTATGACGCAACGTTTCTAGAACTATCATGTACTTTGTCGAATGTTCAAGGTCTTACTTAGAAATAGGTTACGCTGG